CCTATAAGCGCCTGTTTCAGACAGGCGGCGCCGAGCCGATCGACGAAGCCTCGTGGTTGCATCCTTACGTGGCCGCCGTCGAGCCCGAGGCTATCCCCGCGGGCGCTGACCTCCAAGCCATGGGGGCGGGCGCCATCCGTGGCATCGGGCTCGGCTCAAAGATCGAGCACAGGAGGCGCGCGGGCAAGTTGGCCTGCCTTTTCGACCTTCTGTACCACGTGCAGGACGGTCACGGCGCCATCCCAGCAGCGCTGTGGGGATCTCATTCCCCTCCGTCCGAGATCCTCGACGCGTTCGCGGAGGTGGTGCCCGTTCCACATCATTCGGGCCTCACGTCCTCGGCAGCTCGTTCCGAGCTCGCCGAATCGGCCGCAGCTGCGCGCGCCGAGCCGCGCCCGCCCTTTGACTGGGCGACCCTCGAGGGAGGGGACGCTCTGCCCGCCGACATCGAAGCAGGGGCTCGCCGTGCTCACCGTAACATGGGCGGATCCTTCACCTCGGCGCGGGCGATGCTGGCGGAGGCGTCGGGGTTCGAGACCGACGGGCGGGACACCCTCGTTCCGCCCTTCTACGCGTCCAGGAGCAGGAGGGCCGCCACGCTGATCAGCTCTCCCAGCCCTGGCCGCCCTGCGCTCATCCTGTGGTGCGTCTGCGGCCTCTGCATCTCTCTGGGAGCCGCGGCGCCGACCGCAGGCCAAGGGCTTAGTCGGGCTGCGCCTTCCGCGCCCGCTCGCCCTCCGCGCACTCCCTTCGTGCGCGATTCTCACCTCACCTCCGCGTATCTCGATCGTCGCTCGAGATCGATTGATGCGTTCGAACTGTGGTTAGCAGAACACACTGGCGTGCCGCCCGCCACTCTTTACCGTAGCGGGCTACTTCTCGCCCGCTTCCTCGCGACCTTCGGCGTGTGGCTTCATGATGCAGGTTTCCCTCATTATATTCTGGTTCATGCCATCTTGGGAATCCAGAGCGCTCATCCGCATTGGAAGGCCTTTCTAACAGAAGCTTGGGACGTAGCGAAACAATGGAAGCTCGCGGAGCCGCCAAAGCTCCGCCCGCCCTTACCTCGCGCTCTGCTGCGCGCTATGGTCGGTCTCTGTTTCGCCTGGGACTGGCCTGTGATGGCGGCCTTGCTGCTCATGGGCTTTACGATGTTCCTCAGGCCTGGCGAGCTGCTGGCGTCACGCCGCTGTGACTTGTCGCTTCCTTGCGACCGCCTCGAAGTTGAAGGGGATGCTTTTCTTTCGATTCTTGTTCCCAAGACCAGGAGAACGTACCCGACGCAGCATGCTCGCTGCTCCGATCGGGGCACGGTGAAGATTCTGAATCAAGTGTTTGGGCGGTTGGCTTCCACCGATCCTCTCGCCCCTTTCGGTGCGAGCGGCTTCCGTACTCGGTGGAATCATTTGCTTTCGGCCCTGGGCGTCCCTCTTGCCAAAGCGGGTCAGGGGCTCAACCTGACGCCCGCATGTCTGCGGGGCTCTGGCGCAACAGACTTCTATATCGCTACGGAAGACGTCCCTCGCGTCTTCTGGCGGGGGCGTTGGCGTCAGGCTTCCAGTGCTGAGCGCTACCTGCAAGCCGCCGCCGCTTCCACAGTTCTTGCTGCGCTGCCCGAGCCCGCACGGGCGCGGATCCTGTTCTTCGCCACCGCCAGCGACCGCCTTGTCGCTTCATTTCTCCAAGTCGGCCCCGCCGCTTGGCCTGCCCTACTTGCGGCCGCCCGCCGAAACCTTGTCACTTCGCAAGGTCCTTGAGCACGGGCATGGCTGCCTCGCCGTCGTCGGCGAGCAGGCGGTCCCCCCCGCCTGACGCGCGGCGCCCCGGCACGAGCGCGCGGGACGGGCCTGCCCATTTTGGGCCGCCCCGCGCGCGCGAGCCGCGGCCGCGCTCGGAGACAGCTCGCTAGCGCGCGAGCGGGAGAATCATCATCATCATCATCATCATCATCATCATCATCATCATCATCATCATCATCATTACCATCATCATTACCATCATCATCAGCAGCATCAGCGTCATCGTCATCATCACCACCATCATCATCATCACCATTGTTGTCATCATCAGCATCATCGTCATCATCGTCATCATCGTCACGTGCCCCTGCTTATGTTTCTTGGGCGCCTGTTCTTGCTCCTTCCCTTCCGTGTTTCCTTCCGCCTAATACGTGTCTTTACTTGCTTGCCTCTCTACTCCCTCCTCTGTCACGCTTGCAGAATGGAGGTCTCGCATTCTTGCACGACGGGTGGTGGTGCCTCTCGATGGACAGAAGACCAAGGCCCACCGCCACTGCGTACGCATGACCAATTTTGGGGTAAGACGGCAGTTACTGAGCGTCAGATGAAACAGCTTTGGGTGGGCAATGCGCTATACTATGCTATGCTTGAGCTCTTCGCTGCACATATGCAGGCTGGGATGTCATGTTGGCTTGAGCACCCCCAGCAGTGTGAATGGAGATTTCAAGCCGTCAGCTCGTTTACCTGCCATCCGATGCGTGCTCTCCAGTCGTCCCCAGCAGTCTCGACGACCGATTTTGATCAGTGTGAACATGGTCAGACGTCAAGGGCACCCACCAGGATCGTTGCACTTAGACTGCCAGGGCTGCACGCCGCCCTGCTTGCGACCCCTGGAACCGGCAGATGTTCGCACGGTAGGGGCGGACATGAACCGTTTCTTGGGCATGATAGGGATAGGAGAGAGTGGCGCACAGCCAAAAAGAAGACGTATCCCGCCGGTTTGTGTAAGTGTATCGCTGCTGCCATCGCTGACACAGTACGTGCCACGTGGGAAGGACATGTGGACGGTATTCCAGGCGACGTGGGGGAGGATGGTCGAGTGCGTGACGGACTGCTACGCTTCCTTGTCCCCTGGGATCCCCATTCTGGCACAGACGAGGAATGGGCTCCTGACTTGGTTTCTCGGCGCACACGCCATGTCCGACACGACCCTGAACTTGATCGCTTTCGACCGCTACATGCCCCCCCGACATCAGGTCAGGTTACCTCTGCCGCCTCGCAGGTTCGCGATGACATGGCGGAGGTCAGGAGTATGTCGAGGCTCGTTCTTTTCTTGGTGATTCGCAGAAGGAGACAGATCCTCCCCTCCCGCCCGTCCCTGCGCCGCTAGCGCCTGAAGTATTGGAGCGCATTGCGCAGAACCGTGCGCAGGCACGTAACAGAAGGGCTGCTAAACTCCAGGAAGAGAGACAGGCTCGCTTGCGCGAAGTAGCCCCTTGGACCCTGGATCCGAATTTTGGCAGAGGCTTGTTTGGATAAGTTGCTGTCTGCCATATATCATGAGAGGTTGGGGATTGTGGAGGTGCAGAATAGCAATTTGCCGCTGTCTTCTGTGCCGCCTCTTTCAGCCACCTCTGTCTGTCCGACCGCTCTCTGTTGTTGCTGCCTTCTTTGCCTCGGGCACGATCTCGGCGCTTCTCCTTCCGTTATGTGTCCAGCTGCCGCCCTAGTACGAGCGGTTTCGGGCGCCGTACCTTGCGCGGCGAACCTCTCTCGGGGCAGGCAGACGCGCGTGCCTGCCCGCGCCCGCGCATCGGGCTCGCCCGGCCATCTCAACCTCCCCACTTCCCTGCCTAGCTAAAGCTTACTATGGTCGGGACCGGGGGTGGGACTGGTACGTTGACGGGGAAGGGGGTTCTGCTGTGGCGTTGGAGCAGGCACTGGCCGCACGTCGAGCGTACGAGAATCGTGCACTACCGCTGGCCCTGCCTCGCACCCGCCCCCCGCTCAGCTGCCTTTTCGTCAGCCTCTCTTGCCTCTTGGCCCTCCCTCGCTCAGGTCGAGAGGTTTCAGGCGCCGTACCAGGTACGGCACACCTCCGTCGCGGCGGTCAGAGACGCGCGCAGGCCCTGCCCGCGGATCGGACAAGCCTGGCAGTTTCACCTTCCCCACTGCCCCTGGGTATAGGTTTGTTGGCGGGGACGAAGTTCGTCGCACTGCGGCGATGAGGTAGGCATGGGACACAGGTCGAGCGTGCGAAAATCGCGCGCTCCTGCTGGCCCCTGCTTTGTACACGCCCATGTAGCTACCCCTGGGGCTTTTTGAAAGCCATCTCACCTGCTCCCCTCTTTGATCTGCCTCCGTTTGCCTTTTCCCTGCTTCCGTTGCGTTTCAATGGCTTTTCGACGATGCGGGGGTGGTACGGGTGATGGTCTGTGGTCGGGGACGGGGTTTCTACTGTGGTGTTGGAGCAGGCACTGACCGCAGGTCGAGTGTGTGAAAATCGTGCACTTCCGCTGGCCCTGCCTCGCACCCGCCCCCCGCTCAGCTGCCTTTTCGTCAGCCTCTCTTGCCTCTTGGTGCTTCTCTTTTCGTTCGGTCTCTGGCTGCCGCCCCAGGTCGAGAGGTTTCGGGCGCCGTACCAGGCACCGCGAACCTCCTCCGGGGCGGTCCGAGACGCGTGCAGGCCCTGCCCGCGGATCGGACAAGCCTGGCAGTTTCACCTTCCCCACTGCCCCTGGGTATAGGTTTGTTGGCGGGGACGTAGTTCGCGCTGCGGCGATGAGATAGGTATGGCACACAGGTCGAGCGTGCGAGAATCGTGCATTCCCGCTGGCCCCTGCCTCGCACACGCCCACTTAGCTGCCTTTTAGGCCTGGTGCAGCCTATCTCACCTGCTCCCCTCTTTTTTCTGCCTCCTCTTGCCTTTTCCCTACTCCTGTTGCGTTGCAGTGCGCCTTGAGCGCCGTCCGACGATATGGGGGCGGTCTGGGCTTAGTGACGGGGGCGGGGTGTTTCACCAAACCTTGGCGCCCGTGCTGCTAGATACCGCGTGTTTCTGCCAGCAGCTAGTGAGTGCCGCGCCAAACTGACCGTCTCCTCGGCGAATCAGAGCGCAATCCAAAATCCTCCTCTGTCCTCCCTTTTGCATCCTCCCCCCTCCTTTTTCACTCCTCCCCGTCCCTTATGCTTCCCTCCTCCTCCTTCCTCGTGCCGCCCTTCCCTGCTGCTGTTGCCGCTGTTCCCCCCTCCCCCATGCAGGGCCGAAGGGGGCGACGTCAGGTACCGGGTGGCCCTGGAGACCGAGGTGCAGCGCGACGCGCACATCAGCAAGGGCCGCGACACGGTCAACGCGAGGCCGACCGACCCTCGCGTGCCGCACGAGGAGATGGAGTGGAGTGTCCCAGCACCGTGGTCGGGTGGCCACCCGAAAATAAGGTCCAGGGGGCCAAACAACCGAGCACAGTGAGCGACAGACGTGTCCACCTCAACGTCCTCGCGCTCAGGATTCTTTGCCCGCGACCCCATGCGTACCGATACGTTCCGCCGCTGCTTGGCGGTGCTGGCCGTATCCGTTGGACTGCGAATCCATAGGGGCCGCGGCTGGGCATACGGATCGCGAGGACATTCCCCGCTTATCAGAGAAGGTCCCCGAGCGTCCGAACAGCAATCACTATCGAAACAATATTGACCGTTTTGGCTGTCGTTTGGCACTCAGAGGGTCCGTCTGGATGTTTCTGAGCTATTTGGCCTTTGTCGGGTGGCGAGCCACAGACCACGGTCCCAGCGGGCGATGTCCGCGTCACTGGCGTTGTGGTGAAGATGTTTCGCTGCCCACGGGCGATCTCCAGGCTCGATGCGCTGAGCGTGCACCCCTTCCGCCGCAGCAGGGAACAACTCGTAGGCCGGGCGGACATGTGCGGGCTGCTGTTGTGAGCTTCGCCCGCGTCTTCCAGGAGGGTGTAGCGTTCGCCCTCTCTCCGTTCCAGCTTCTGCCGCGACGAAGCAGCGCTGCGTATTGAGATCCAGCAGCTTACTTTCTTGGAGGAGGTTCGCTTGAATTCCGATTTCGCCGGGAGGGAGTGGCGATGGCGACCAGCCTGACCTTCCATTGTCACCTTGGACTGCCTCGCACCGCACATTTGAAGTACGATCAGTGTTGTTTCGGCTGTGTGTGCACACAGGGTCATGGTTCCGCGTTTCCACGTAGACATTGCTTCGCTCCTTGGCCTCAGAACAGGAGGCGTGTTCAGCGTGGCCAGCCCGAGTCCAGCCGCGGCTTACGGGCCTTACGGGCCTCTTTCAGTGGTTCATCTTTCCTCCCTCTCCCCCTCTCCCCCCATCCTCCCCCCTCCCGCCTCCCTTCCTCTTCGTCTTCAATCCTCCTCCCTCCTCCCCCTTTCTATCCTGTTCCAGCTGCACCCCCTTCCTTCTTCGCTCCTTCTTCGCTCCCGCCCACTCCTTGGGCGGTCGGGAAAGACCTTGCGTCCACCCTGGCTCTTGGGGGTAAGAGCCCGCATCACCGTTCCATCACTTGATCCGCCGCTGCGACTTTGCCCACCGCCACCTCCTCCCCTCCACACTCCTCCCCTTCCTGCCCTCCCTCCTCCTGCTCCTCCTCCTCCTCATTATCATCATCCTCATCATCATCATCATCATCATCATCATCATAATCATCATCATCATCATTATCATCACCATCATCATCATCAGCAGCATCAGCCGCATCATCACCATCATCGTCATCATCATCAGCCTCATCATCAGCATCATTATCATCACCATCATCGTCAACATCGTGAGCAACAGCGACATCATCATACTCCTTCTCCTCCTCCTCCTCCTCCTCCTCCTCCTCATCATCATCATCATCATCATCATCATCTTCATGTTCATCATCATCGTCATCAGCATCATCATCATCGTCATCACCATCGTCATCATCATCATCAGCATCGTCCTCGTCCTCGCCATCATCGTCATCATCACCATCATCAGCAGAACCATCGGCAGGAGCATCATCACCTGCCTTCTTCTGATTGTTCACTTTCATCATCATGATCATCATCAGCATCATCAACATCATCATTATCCTCATCCTCATCCTCCTCATCATCATCAGCATCAGCATCATCATCACCATCAACATCACCATCACCATCACCATCATCATCATCATCATCATCATCATCATCATCATCATCATCATCATCATCATCATCATCATCGGTGCAGCCGAGACGGCGATACGCGCGTGAAGAGGGGGGACAGCAGAGGTGTGGCCAGAAATGGCAACCCCTCCGCTACGAATAAAGTAAGCGATGGGAGGCTCCCTCGGGTACACCTCGCGACCATCCCTCTATACATGGCAGCCGTGGCCCCCGCGCTCCCTGAAGGCGACAGCTGCCGACACGAGGCTGGCTCCAACTGTGGCCTCACGAGCCGGCCTTCTCGCGCACAGCCGCGAACGCCGAGGATGAAGTGCCCTCCAGCCGGCCTGCACCACATGGCATTGGCAGAGTCGGAGAAGGGGCAGTACAGCAGCATGCCCAATTCCACGACGTGCACGGACGGAGAGGAGGACACAGGAAGGACGGGAGAAGGGAGATCGCGCGCTCCTGTCGAGCGTCCTGGACCTTTCCCGCCTCCAGCGCCCCGTACGCCGGGCTGCCCGTGTGGTCAGCCACGAACTCTGCCGCATCGCCAGGCCAGCCAGGTCAGCAACGTTCAGCTGCAACACGAAAGCAGAACGGAGCCACGGGGAGAAAAAGGAGACAATGCAGCAGCACAGCCTGCCAGACGCGGGGGGGGTCGGGTGCGACGGGGGCCTTCAGGCAGCGCGCCTGCGCCCTGCAGCGTCGAGCGCCCTGCACGCCCGCGGGTGCCCGGCCACGAGGTCGCGGACCGCCCGGTGCAGCGCGTCGCGCGCCATCGGTGCGGTGCACGCCGCCGCATGCCTGCTGAAGTTGTGCACTGTGAACGTGGCGGGCGCGCGCAGCACCTGGGGGGTCAGTGCAGTCGGCGGAGGAGGCGTAGTGCTCGATGGAGTCGTCCACCCCGGCGCAGCCGAAGATGCAGCCGGAGCCCGCCACCTGCGGCGCTTTGTGCACCATCCGTGCCAGAGGGTGCGAAGCATAGCCGCCCAGACTCTCGGTGGAACCAGCCTGTCCTTCTATTTCTCCTGCCCGCCCTCCTCCCTTCCCGAATTCGTGGTCGGTGTGCTACTTTCTGCACAGGCAAGTCACGCAGGCTGCGCTGCAGCCGCTGCTGGCCGACTCTGGTCTGTCTCATCGGCCCGGGCTCGCACTCCAGCCGCTGCGGAACAGTTGGCCATTGCATGCGCCCAACGTTTCACTTTCGGTTCCGCCTCCTCCCCTCCTGTCCGCAATCCCGTAGTCGACGTGATTGGTTCCTGGGCTTGTCTACTTCTCTTGCGACTGACAGGAATATTGCGAAAAAGAGGTGCTGCTATGAATCTCTGTATTGCAGTTGTGTCGGGCCTCATTATACAAGTGGTCGTTTGGACCTATGGGGATGCGCGCACAACGCAGTTGTTCCTCCTTCCTCTTCTCCTCCTCCTCCTTTAGCCGCATTTGTTGCCCCGAGCTGCGTACTTGCAGCGAAGTGTCTGGCCGTTGTTTGTTGTCGTGTGGCAGACGGCGACTTGCTTGTGGGGCGATCAGTGTATATATTTTTTCCCCGGGCGCTGCCCATCACAAACAACATGCAAAGCCTCTTTTCTGGCGTTGACCCTGCGATGTAATCCACAGGTGCCGCCGCAGCCGTTCTTTTCGTCCGACGGAAGGTTTCGTAAGACCTGTTTTTTTTTTTTTGTTTTGTTCCCTAGGCGCGCGCCGAGGACATGTTGCTGAAGACAGTTGTTGTTCCTTGATGTCCGTATCTGCGACGCCCAGGCGGAATAATTGTTTTAACATTTTTAACGCTGGCTGGGCTTGCGTCCAGAGTTGCCAGCACGAGAGGTCATCGGTTCTGTCTGCCTCCCAACAATCATCAGCATCATCATCATCAGCATCAGCATCATCATCAACGTCATCATGATCATCAGCAGCAGCATCATCAGCTTCATCACCATCATCATCATCATCATCATCATCATCATCATCATCATCATCACCATCATCGTCATCATCATCATCATCATCAGCCTCATCATCAGCGTCATCGTCATCGTCATCACCATCACCACCATCACCACCATCATCACGATCGCTATCGTCACCATCCTTATCATAATCATCATCAGTATCATCACCATCACCGTCACCACCAACATCATCTTTAGTACCAGCAGCATCATCACCATCACTATCACCATCATGCTGCTTACCCTCCTTCCCCTCTTCCTCATCATAACCATCGACAGCATCATAATCAGCATCATGTGCATCATCCCCAGCATCATCACCATCTTCACCATCATTGTCACCATCACCAGCATCACTACCATCACCATTACTTCTGCCTCAGTTCCTCCTCCCTATCCTCCTTTCCTCCCTCCTCCTCCTCCTCGACCTCCTCCTCCTTCTCTTCCTTATCCTCTCTCCCTCCCGTCCTCCCTCCCTTCCTCCTTCTCCCTCTCCCTCTCCTCTTCTTCTTCCTCCTCCTCCTCCTCCTCCTCCTCTTCCTCCTCTCTTCCTCATTCTTCTCCTCATTTCCATCCTTTCTCCTCCTCCTCCTCCTCCTTCTCCTCCTCTCGCTTCGTCCTCCTTGTTCTCTCCTTTTCGTCCATTCTCCTCCTCGGCCTGCTCCTCCTTTTCTCCCTTCATTCTCCTTTCTCCCTCGCCCCCTCCCTCCCTCCCCCCCTCCCTCCCAGTGCACACGCGAGTCCGCACGCAAATCTGGCCGACCGAGGCGCCCCGTTCCCGCCTCCCATCGGCAGAAAGACGAGGGGGTCCGCTTCGGTGCGCGCGCGTGAGCGGATGCGGGCCCAGCCTGCCGAGGAGAAGGAGGAGGGAGGAGGAGGACGAGGGAGGAGGAGGAGGGGTGCGGGAGGATCAGAGGGGCGGATACTGATATGGATGCTGAGGATGAGGCTGAGGACGTTGATGTTGGTGTTGCTGATGATGGTGATGATAATGCTGTTGCTGCTAATGATAATGATAATACTGATGGCGATGCTGATCACGATGATGTTGCTGCTGATGATGATGGTGATGCTGATGATGATGATGATGCTGATTATGGTGATGATGATGCTGATGATGATGTTGATGATGATGACGCGCATGATGATCTTTATGTGGATGAGGGTGCCGATGCGTATTATGATGCCGTCGTTGTTGCTGATGGTGATGTCGATGAGGGTGGTGGTTACGCGTCTGGGGATTCTGATGATGCTGTTGCGGATGATGATGTTGACCATGCTGGCGATGTTGCAGTTGTTTCTGTTGCTGGTGCTGATGCTGATGGTGTTGATGCTGCTGCCGATGGCGATGCTGATGGTGATGATATGGCCATGATGCTGATGCTGACGCTGTTGATGGTGCAGATTATGCGTATCACGATGTTGCTGATTAGGTTGTTGATGATGACGATGCTGATGAGGATGATGCTGATACTGGTGATGTTGATGCTGCTGATGGTTATGACACTTAATACACTGATGATGATCATGATGGTGCTGCTCATGATGATGATGAGGATGACGGCGCTGGTCACGATACTGATGTTGTTGATGATGATGGTGTTGGTGACGACGCCGATGGTGATGGTGCAGTTTATCATGACGACGGCGGTGATGCTGGCGCTAATGATGTTGACGATTATGACGACGCTGATGATGATGCAGTTGATGATGACTATGATGGTGTTCATGATGATGGTGGTGCAAGCGATGCTGCTGGTGATGCTAATGGTGTTGCTGATGATGATGGGGATTCTGATGATGACGATGCTGATGGGGACGCTGCTGATGATGATGGTTATCTTGATGACGATGGTAATGAGGTTGACGGTAATGGCGACGTTGATGGTGGTGGCGATGATGATGCTGTTGAAGATGATGATGAGGTTGATGGTGATGTGGATGCAAATGAGGACGATTGTGGTGATACTGTTGCAGATTCTGTTATGACGATGATTGAGCTATTGTTGGTGATGATGAAAATGACTATACTGATGACGACGGCGATGCTGATAATGATGAAGAAGAAGATGTTGATATTATTGTTGTTGCTGATGGTGATTACGATGGTCATGAAGCTGGTGATGAG